CGCTAGAAATGGGTTACTAAGCATGTCATTGTTTTTCTATTTGATTAAAAATGGCCAACTAGTGGCCATGTTGGTTTTATTTTTTTATGTGGTCTTAACCATTTCTTTTGACATACATTGAACTATTTTGTTTAAAGATAGTAAAAATACGAGTTAGATATGAATAGATATGTTTAATATGTATAAATAATACTACAATGAAATAATCTAATAACTTTCAAAACATTGGATAATGCATGTTTTGACGTTTAAGGTCAAAATTGTGATTATTGCATTTCTCATCAGAACACAATGCGTTGTACAAAGACTGTTACCTCTTTGTGGGTTTGAGGAAACTACTAGTTTGGTACAAAAAATATTACAATGAATTTGTTATATGTTTTTGAGTTGAATACACTGGCGTTTTGTTCTTGTGCATTGTTTATCAGTTTTTGTTGTTTTGTAGTATTTAGTGTATATATATTTTTGATCAGTTTGTTATTTTGTACTTGTGAATTATTAGTTTTCTGTTTTTGGTCCGTTTTACAATTGTGAGCGTCAATAACCATTTATGCAATGATGTGTAATTTAGAAAAGCTCTTATCAATCACCAATTAGAGTGCGTCATACTTTTAGAGTAATCTGTACAATGTAACATGAGTTCTGATTGGGTGTTGAACCTAAAAGCTGGAATGTACAATGTAACATGAGTTCTGATTGGGTGTTGATCCTAAAAGCTGGAATGTACAATGTAACATGAGTTCTGATTGGGTGTTGATCCTAAAAGCTGGAATGTACAATGTAATTTGTCTAATCCCCTAAAAAAGAAATTTGTTCTGGGTCCCAAGATGGAGGTTGAGTGCCATTTTTTTTTATATGGGGGGAGGGAGTGAATTGATTTTTAGTCACAGGAGCAATGTACTCCGGTCAACACTTGTTTGTATTTTTAGTTGTTAATTTGCATACCAAATAGACCAAATATGGTAATGCAGATTGTAGTAAAAATCTTATTTTCAATTGTCACTATAACTCAAACTGTGTCTGATTGTTTTGCAGATACAGTCGCAGCAGGTATACTCGCAGCAGGTCACATGACAGATATCGTAGTTCTCCTAGCTACTCTCGTTCCAGGAGCCGAAGCAGTTCCTCTTACGACTCAGATTATTAAACTTGTATTCATTACTGGACTTGCCATAAATTGGCTATGGTTACAAGTCTGCGACAAGTGTCAGCTATACAGAGTCTTACATTTAAAGTTACTGCCAACTAAGACATCAGGAATGCATATATTTTGTAAATCCTCAGCACAGTTTTAGGGAAAAAAGGCACATAAGTATTTGTTTGGCAGTGTAACTGAACCTGATCATTGAGAGAATCTGGGAGGGGTTTATAGGGTTAAGTAAGAACTTTGGTAAGTAACGAAAATTTACTGAATATTTCAGAATTTTAATTTTAAAGGGGCCCGCCAGTCATTGAGTAGTCCATCCATGTTTTCTGTACATAAATAATGGATTGTACATGCATTGTATGATAAAATCTGTTTTAGAAGCTGCTTTCTTTTTTTACTGAAAAAATTCAGAACTGCAAAATCGCTATTTCTCTTAGAAGCTGCACCCCTTCTGTTGCATTGTATCATTTGAATAGAAGACACAGCTTCTACTAATACAGTATATGGCGCATGACACCATGCATCAGTTTAATGAGAGATCCTTGTCTTTGATGTTGATAAGGGAAACAAAATTAAAGTGCCTTTTAAGTTTGCTCAATACAGTTTTATGAAAGTATTTGGAATCTTTTTATCTTGCCCGTAACATCAAAGATGGAAAGGAAAGGTATATTAAGGGAAAAATTTTTGTCCGTCGTCATTGTCGTTGTCGTTAATAATTGTCATTGTGTGCATAATAACTTTACTAATTCAATTCCAAATTTTATCAAACTTGGTCACCTTATTCATCAGTATAAAGTCTTCCCTGAGTATGAATGACAGATTTCCTGTATGAAAATATCATGCAAAAATTGAGAAAATCTAATAAAATATTTTGACTGTTTCTACTTGATTGATCACTGGCGATACACATTCAAAGGTCACTGATCTCAGTGGAAATATGCATTGTTGGCTGTGTTCAATGAAGTGAATCATTTATCTTGTAATAATATCCTTGATATCCCATGGGAATACTAGACTGGGTTTCAAAACCAACTCATGGAGAGAGTTTTTGCACAGTCAGTCTAACAAAGGGCAAGGTCATCAGAGTTCAACTATGTTTATATTTTGTTAACCGATTGCTATTGCTATACAGTTCATATGTAAAGAAAACAAAATTTGGGGTATAGACCTAATTTTTGAGGTTAACAATATGATACTGTATGTGAATTATGAAGCTAATACATGGAACTCTGTGGGGTGTTAAATTAGACAAATCCTTTAGATTTATTTTAACTTTAGATAATAAAACAATGTATTTGTAACAACATTTTGAAAAAATAGCAGGTACTCATTTTGTAAAGATCCTGTAGTTTTAATAGTTTCACTTTCACCCATGTTGGGGAAACTCTATTGGACAATCTTAATACCTTTATTGTCTGCTTTGGAACAAAATATGAACATGACAATGATAATGTTGACGTTTTTAAATACCAAATGGTAGTAGTTTCGTTCTGGCAATTGCAGTTAATATTCACTTGATACAAGTACAACCAGGGACAGAATAGTAAGTGTGTATGTTGTGTGTGTCTTGCAATGCTAGAGACACAAGTTATCAGTACTGCTTTCGTGTTCTTATATTTATTTTAATTATTACCACGTCTTGTTTCGGTGGCAATGCTGTCTCATTTCGTTAACTTCACAGGAATCAAACACAGTTGACACAACTAACAACGGTCTCACTATTCTGTTACTGGATAGTTGTTCAACATAACACCTCAGATTTTCTGTTTTATGCTAGAGTGTGTTGAATGATACCAGCATTTATAAGCTGTTATATTTTGTAACTCTGATATTTATTATACTATGTACATGAGCTTACTGTGACTTCTGTTTTGTTTTATTGCCATTACATGCTAAGTATTTGCTTATTTGATTGCTATTGAAATAAAGGAAAATGTGCATTGTATAAAGATGGCATCTCATTTCCAAAGATTACCTCAGAAATCTTTTTTTTTTAAATGTTAATTCCTGAAAGCAAGGTTAAAAGACAATTTTATTTTCGGCACTATCACAATTTCATTATTAAGGCATTGGCGAGAATGCAAAGGTCACCAGCACTAATAATTTTGCTGTTCTATAATATAATTCGCTAACATTTGTTGCTTGCAATGTTTACAATAGTATATTTTTTGTGTGTGTAAAAACTGTATATTCAGGGTTATATATTTTGTACAATTGTAATGGTCATTGTGCAGCACACACTCAAATTTTACGTCAACAATGTACACATGTACCAGTCTATGACAGACATGAAACTGATCATGTGAGGACCACCACCCAATGCATCATAGTCAATTCTGTTTATAGTGACCACTTAAAAAAAATGTTCTTTTATAGACATTTGTAGGTTGATTATGTTATTTGCATATAAAAATATGACAATATCTCTGTTATCAGGACAATAAATATTTGTCTCCATTAACATTTCAGTGTAGAGACTCATGTAAAACCTTCAACCTGTCAATATCCTTAGCATCTATACACACGTTCATTTGACCAAACTGGTCTCATTTGACAGGTGGTCTTCATATTTACATGTAAATTGCATTTCGACAGCATAAAAAGTGGTCACTATGAGCACATGGTTGCTAACACAGGCTTGGACTGTATGGTGTACAAATGTCTGTCTCTGTATTAATTTTTCCTTTAATGTAGTGAGTAGAATTTTGAAATTAACACATTCTCATTCCACTATGCTCTATATGGGTGTAAATGATCAAATAACTTGTTTATTTCATTCCCTTTCAAAGTTGCCGGGATGACGGAAGAGAATAGTGCAAGTCTCCATAGCTTTTGCTCTCAGTAATGTCTTGGTGTTCATTTTCGTTCAAGGTCAATTTCTCTTTACTTTTAGCTGCCTTTTAATTAATGTAGTCACTAAGTTGTGAATTTGGTAAATAAAAACAAATTTGAAAGTTTAAAAGTGTTTCTTTGTTTTCAATACTCACATACCTGCTGCAACACAGATGCTGTTCACATCATGTGCAGTGATTTGTGTTTTACTTTAAGCATGTAAATTTGAATAGAAATCACAAAAATTTCTTGCCAAAATAGTCAGCTATACAAATCAGTATTGTGAACAACTTGCTCTGACCTCGACTAGTTGCTCAGTAAAACGTGTCTTCATTCTATCACCTTACACTTAAAGGAGAAATGGTTAACAATATCTTTTTTTTTCTCCAAAACATTTCCTGCAACGGTCATCGCCAAAATGTGGACATGTAGCATATACGCTCTATATCCACTTGCATTCAGGTCTCCAGAGGGCGCCATATATATATTGCAATCATGAAGAACTACAGTACAAGACAACCTACCAGAGGCCCTAGGCAAATGGCAGATAAATTTAAACGCAAGGGGCCAAGTCTAACAGCTTCTCATAGATCCTTTCTTATAATTTGTATGAATTGACCAATGATGGGATGGGGGAGAAATGCCATCATTCATTTTCTGTAAGAGGGAGTAACATGCCAGTGAATTTCAGCACCTTCGTTTAACAAAAAAAAAATTTACTTTTTTTCTTATTTTTCCTTCAAGCCATAAATATGGAAAGCACAGTAAATTAGACTACTTGAGATATGTATACAAAACTGTATTTTGATATTTTTTTTATTTGACTTTGAAAAATGTATTGAACATAACTGAGAAAAAGAGTTGTACTCTACTACAATTATAAAATTGAACTTTAAGAACAACGTTCTCTTTTGGGAGATTGTCGTGTTTGAATCGTATTGTCGTATTTTTGTCCTGATTTGTAGGATTCTGAAAAACGCGTTTCACAACTTGTCTCTTATTTAGTTTTATGCGACATTCAAGATGGCGGCCCCCATATAGTAAATATCGCATTCATTTTATTATATCAGGTGTGCACCAGCTGACTGTGGTTGAGATTCTCCTGATCTGTGAAACAAAATTATCCCTACATGTGCAGCATTTATAAATTTGATTGTTCAGGATTATCTCATGGTTGAGTTTGTGCTGTTTTCTCGACTTTAGCTGTTTTCATCGGCTTCTCGTCCGGCGTTTGCCCATGGTGGTGCACATCTTAATAACATAGAATGTTCTGTAATGTAGCTCCATCACCAAGAGTTGATACAATATAAAATACAGCATATTATATTTTTCCGACGTATTTAAGTTTGGTGATTATTTTCATTTTGAAAAATTATTGGTAACTGATTAAATTAAAACAATGTAGCATTAGCCAAATTGGCAATATTGGCAATTATTGCATTTCTTGTGTCATGAAAAGGTCCTAGCGGCGGTTGACAGTGCAGATATAGTTCAATATGTGGTATTTTGCAAATATCAAGTGGTATATACCTCAGAAATGGTGGTTTGTGTCAAATATGAACATATTGGTTAAGAAGGAAACCTTTTTGGTTTTCTTCTGGAACATAGCGAATAGAGTGCATCATTTTATAATTTTAGGATTAAAATTTTGTATGAATATCTTCAAATCAATTTGAAGAAAATATGTTTTTTGAGCATTTGACAACTTGAGATCGCTTTTAAATGTTACCCAGAATGCATTGTTTAATTTAATTACCCATATTGCATTTTGTTTAACTGAGTTCCTGTGGCAATAAAGTTAGTAAATTATTTCTCTTCTTTTGTTTTCGTACTGTCCTGCGCTAGAAGCCCTCGGATACTGACATCATATACAACTTCTTCCACTTTTTTCATGTCGTATTTCAACCCATCGAATCGTTTCCGCAGGGAGTCATTCTTCAAGTTCAGGAGTCTAAAACCAGAATCTAGCTCACCAACAAATGTGGCAATTCTTGACGGCCTGCTGTATTCGCCGGCGGTAACGCTGTTCACTGCCATACGAGACTACAAATAAAAGTAATAAATAAAACGTCAAATTACACACTGGTATCCTATTTTTGTGAAATCCATGATTTTTTTTTTTCAAAGGAATGATTGAGCTAAATGGATATTATTATGTCCACTTGATTAAAAAAGATATAGAAAAATTCATAAAAAATGTACAAAACATTTTGGTGGAAAAATTGTAGTTTTCAAAGTGTTAAAAGGCGACAGTCATCGCGCCATGCATGTGCAACATTTGTGTTGATAAACATTGATTTTCCCACAATCCAATGCGCTCTTCTAATGGAAATCACAAGTATGAGGTTTGACCTGGGCACAACTTGCACTAATTACTCCTTCGATACCTTTCAAGCACCTAAAAAATACCTAATTAAAGCTTGGTAACGTGTATCTGCACAACAGTAAAATTCGCCATCTTTGCTTATATGATACCAGTATATCTCGTGCATGCGTGCCGTGAGGACTATCTCCCTTTAAAGTGACCCACAGTATTCATATAAAAACATCTCAGACATATAGCAATTCACATTTACTGGACATAATTTCTAAATTGTAATCTGACGACTTACCAGTTCACTTGCTAAGTTCAATAAACCCATTAAATAATCTTCAAGATCAAGGTGCAGACCATCTCCCTTATCAAACTTAACTGAAAAAAAAGGAAAAAAAAATTCTACTATTGTAGTCAATTTTGATGATTTGACACTGCATTCACGCATATCATTTTGATATCATAAAAGCACTTTGATGATAGAGGGCTTAAATATTCAAACTTTGTACAACTTACCACCAAGTAACTCTGACATTTCTTCTCTGGTTATCAGTTTTTCAGTTTCTAAATACACGGTGAATGCGGCTAAGAATGTTAATCGCTGCGTCACAAACCTCCAATGATCATGAAATCTACAGAGAGTGCAGAACAACAAGCTACTTTATATCAATAAATAAAATCCCTTTTACAGCTAGCCTGGTTACCATCCTGTTATTTTATTGGTCCTTCATCTGTCTCCATACTAAATCTGGAAACATTGTCTCAATTTTGCTTGTACAGTCAATTGGGGATCTTGCTGATGATTGGCTGATAAATATAGCACACTACTAATCTGAATATGCTAATCTTTCAAACAATGGATGACCATGACTTGATTGGCTGATAAATATAGCACACTGCTGATCTGAATATGCTAATTATCCTAACAATGGATGACAGTGGTATGTTCTCAGTATGCACTGTTATCAACTGACAGTTACCACAGAGATGAAAGTGTGACTGTCCCTTTCTTTGTGACGTTGGAATAAATTTGCTTAGTTAAAAATCAAGGAAACATTTCCAGACTAGTATGGAGGGTGCCGAAAGATCTGTGAAATAATAGGAACGTAACCAGGCAAAATTACAGCAAAACCATTATACTTAATATTAAAAACCAAAAGCATATACAATTATATAGCATCTTAGCCAGCCAAGGTTCATTAATTCGGCCATCGCTTCACCACTAAACCTTAGCAGATGGTATACAGCCAACGTGTATTTAAGTGCGCCCTCTCTGGCAATATTTCCAGTCAAATTGCTCATCAAACATTCACCACGAACACAATTGTACAGGTAGAACTTTTCTTCCCAGCCAGGGATTGAGCTGACATTTCTATCGGATTAGAACAATTTATTATAAATTTGTTTGCCCATTTTTCACTATACTAAAGAAACACAGCTATAACATACGGCCACCGTAAAATGCACGGTAGTATTTGTGTGCATGCTATTTATAAAATGAACATAGACTTTCAACCGTCACATGTTATAAAACATGGCAACTGTGTTTACAGTGTGTCTCAGGGGTAAGAACTGATAAGACTCTAAGAATGATTTCAATAATTTGCAAGTACTGACCCAGGCTTGAGGCGGAGGCTCAATGCTGTACATCGAAGTAATGGGCGCATGGAATCGAATGAGTTGTTTGCGTCAAATACTCATTGTAACCCAAATCAAGTGATAAATAGTTTGACCAACTGTAGTTTTTGTTCAGTACTAGGCCACATATACCAAAGACGATTCTGGCAAGTGGGAACTGTGGAAAATTTGCATCGGCGATTATTCATGTTCGACAACACAATGCTACATTTTTTTAATGACCAGTTGTCACATGTTACGCCAACTCTGATTGGGCACATGCTTTATGGCCACCTCCAAGGTAAAATACACGACTTCTCAGTGCAATCATTTCAGTACAGTTTTACCTTTTAAGAAAACTAATCTGAAGTATAATTATGTCCTAGAAATTTTATCCCACTTCCACCAAGTAAAATGCTGATTCTGATCTGATTATGTCAAAAGGATTTTAGTGTTGTTTTTTTACAACTAAAAGCATAATTATTGTACATGCGTATGTATGATATACTCTCTATGTATAAATTTGAAGTGAATTGCTCATGTACAAGATGCACGTCTGAAATAGAATGTCCATGAGTTGGCCATCTTGATTCAAATTTATAAAGCTCTGCATATTTATCATGAAAACACAGATTTATATGAAAGCTTGGCTCACCTATAATATTGGTCAGATGGGAACTTTGTTGCCAAGTCTTCATACTGTGTCCTCACAATCTTAAACATATCCCGTGATTTCTTGCATAGCGATGGAACTAGATGATAGATAATAAAAAATAATTAAAAGCTCTCTCTCTCTCACTTCCACTCTCTTCATCCCTCCCCCTCCCTCGATCTTCCCCAGAGCCCCTGTATCATATTTATTCAAGTTTCATAGTTCAACGTCAAAATTCAGGAAAGAATATGGCATTGAGATACTGTAGAATACTTTATTTTCGCTTGAAATTAATTTTCGCTATTTTTGCTGAAGGATTGATTCAGTGAAAATAAAATCCAGAGAATATACCGGTTTTCCTTTATTTTACATTCAACTTGTCAAAAATCAGTGAAAATAAATTCTATACGAAAAGGCTTTTCAGCGAAAATTAATTCCAGCTAAAATAAAGTATTTTACAGTAACTTTACTTCATAAAAATTTACCACTATAATGTATCATTATTAAGCGAGGAAATACCGGGGGTACCCCTCAAAATAGTTTCATGTTTGTTGAATCCCATATGATGTTTTGACGTTAATACAAAGCTATGATCTTTGATTGTCCTCCTCTATATGGGACTCATACACAATGTGTGTAAAATTCATTGTTTACATGAAAGTGAAACATACATGTACGCTGCATTACAACCATTGCCCTTTAAGCTTATAAAGATTTGCTCACTTTCTTTAATTCCAGATGGTTGGTGTACACCCTGCAACACTGCTAACATCTCACGGGCAGTTTGCTCTAAATTTCTCACAGACAGACGAATTTCCTGAAAATAAAATTGTGTTTTAAATTGTAAATGAATGAAATATAGTAAATGGAAAAAACAATTGTTTTTGGTGTATAATAGAAATTATTTCCTGATTGGTTTTTGTATGGGAAATGTTGAATTTAAATGAAAAACTACAAACATCTCACTCTCAGCACAACTAGCCTGTTTCCTTCACGGTTATAAATATTTACAAATTTCAATGGTATTTGAATCCAAAACAGCCGATCAACAAGCACAGTATGCAATGAAATCAAAACGTTCTAATGTTATTCAATTGGCCAATAAAAATCTAAGTTTTCAGTTCAATTTTTGAAGTTTATGAATATTTATAAAAATGAAGAAAAAAAAGTTTGTTGTGTCAAGAGTACTTAAAATATTTGTCCATGCATTTACAAACCATAGTATACCCACTGTGTATTTACTAAATTAGACTGAATTACATTTCAGAAAAAATCTCATTAGTATTGTAAAATTGAGATTAATTGAGACTAGCAATTCACCTATTCACAAAGTTCTAAACACATCATTCAAACATTCTGCGAAAATGTGTAGGTCCTATTTTTATATCATTTGGCTAGTCAAAAATATACAATATATAAATCAAAATGGATGTTAAAAATCAAATTGACCAATCCAAGAATGGTATTTTGACATCAATGTTAGATATAATTAATATTCTTAATTAATAAGTTCAACATTAGCCAATCAGCAAACGGCCCGTTAGTCACATGAAGGCATGAGCTTGCACTGTGGGTATAGACAATGTTCAGCTCATGAGCAAATCACTAATAAATATTTGAAATTTGAATGAAAGATGATGATCGACACTTAAAAACTTGTATAAATATGTTTATAAGCCCCAGCTTTGTGCCTTTCACTGTACTGTGTTAAACATATTTAGACCTTGAAAATAACACCAAATACACAACATGGTAGATGCTATGTTGAATGCGCGACTCAAACCTACGCTCATGTATGGCACGTAGTGTACAGACAAGCATACATCGTCAGACAAGCAGCGGCATTGATGATTCTGAATGAGAGAACGTTCAGTTGTGGAAGGGTGAAATACCTCTACCCAACCAAATCCAAAAGAAAAAGCAGATCACACCAGAAGAGGGCGCTTTGACCACATGGGGCATCATGTCAATAGTCTCAGTTCAGACTTTCAATTCTCACTGTTTTTCAAAATATTAAATGACTAATTATAATAACAAAGGTTAAATATATATGATAATAAATTGCACAGTTAAATTAATAATATTATCAACTTCATAGAATTTACGGATTAAAAAAAACTTACCTCCCGGATTTCATGGTCTTGCGTCAGGTAATCATTGAAAGATGCAAATATATCAGTCGTCGACATTGTGTAGAGTGTGAATTAAAAACACTGCGATGAAATCTAATGTTTTAGGTAAATGCTCGTCTCGAATACAACACAAATGCTGAACACAAGTTATTGTTTATACTCTACTGGTCATGCTTTCTGTCCCGGCATGCAATCAAGTAGACCCTCTATGTTAAGAAAAAGAATCAATAATATACCCAAAATATAACACTATAACTCCAAATTATTTTACATAAAAAGACAATAGATGAGTTTATTGTTAGCAAATACAATTTGTTATTGATATATTTGATTTAACCAGACCACGATTTTAGCTATTATTTATAGCGTTGATTATAAATAATATTTTTATCCATTGAGTTAGGCGGTCTTCCAACATGGTGGCAATAGTCAAAATCAAAACATTGTGGATGTCAAGTTAAAACTATAATGCGTTTTTGAGATTCAGCGTGCATCATTGCAGATATGAATTATGTAATTGATATAAACTAGATATACACGAAGGTGTATATTTAAACTTTAATATGAATTCCAGGTATAACTCAAAGAAACTGACAACGTCTCCTTGTCAGGTGAGTATTAAAGTAGGTTAGATTATAATAGTTTTATTAACCTCGCGCTGCTATGGTGATGAGAAAAGTAACACAGTGCATTTAAAATCAAACTCGAAGTAAATATTGCTGGGGTTGACTCAGAGCATTGTCTTAATTCTTAAGTTTTAATGTGAGAATGTCTGTCACGGATTTGTTGCATGAATGTTAGATAATTCGGTGGAACCTAGACCGTAACCCCCCAGTGTAATTGAATATGCCCCTCTAATTATAAATGACACTCCGGGGTATATAGAATTGAAAGGTAGGAGGGGGTACTCGAGGGGCAGGATGGGATTAGAGATATGGGCGAGGGGTCCTAAAAACATTTATATCCAAGGGTGCATTACTTTAGTGTTGATTCAGTTGCACATACCAAACCGCAAGGTTTTCACTCAATTCATTGTTGTACTTGTCACTGAAACAAGATAAAATTTATCATTTTAAGTTAGAGATGCAGTTTACCTGACAGGTATTTTAATTAGTTAATTAGGAAACCAAGATGACCTCCCTTGTCCACAAAACTATATATTTTCGAAAAGCTTATTGTATAAATTTTAAAATTTTGTTAGTATATTTTTTTTTATAGACACTGTAGTTTGAAATATGCTCAAAAATGTGCTTTTTGGTCAAAAGTGATTTAAAGAAAATTAGCTTCTAAACCTTGCTTCTGTTTCCTGTCAAAATTGGTTTATGGGTAGATCTGTTGATTATGAAGAAAGTGCCATCTTGAAAACTGTCTACCAACTGTCAAATTTTCAGGGCAGCAGCTTAAATTTTACTACTTCAAGTTTATGCATAAATTAACACCCAGGCTAGTTGTCTGTACGATTGTTGTAACACTGTTCAACCAAAAACAATGCCCCAAAGGCGTTTTAAAGATAAACACATTGTCAATCATTTGTGAAAATTTCAAAACAAAAGGTCAAAGCGTCTAGGAGCTATTTTTTTTAAAGTTCTGGGATGTGCACTAAA